TAATTCTTTGAGCTCTATTTATGCTTTCCTTTTCCCTTTACGGAGGCTATTTTTTTTAGCTTTCGCAAATGACCATAACATGCAGTGGTCATGTTTGACGAGCAAGTTATTTGCTTTGCTTTTAGGATGCAAAACATTTACTTATTGTTTATATTGAAAGTTGACTGATTGATGAACTTCATACAATGATAAATCACTATGTCCGATATACGGAACATTGGATATAGATATAGGTTTGATCCTCCACAAACATGAAAAATACTTCAAAAATTTTGTCCTACTTGTATCGTTCACTTAGATATGGTTATCGAAATTACTTTACCTCGAGTCCGTGAAGTTGCTGTCACATTCATTGTTGCATAGACAAGTTCATGCTCACCTTTGATTTGATTTTTTTTTTTTTTTTTGATACGGGGCTGTGGCATGCAGTCGTTGGAGCTGCGGAACATGGGCAAGAATAGAAGCATGACAATTTCAGCACGAGTAGTTTTTTTTTTTTTGCCTTGGATGGGTTTTATAAGATGTTTTCTAACAGTGGCTCTAAGAATTAATTGATTAGAAATAAGAGATTTATCAAATTAAATTTGAAATTTAGAGATAATATTATCTTTGAGATAGATAAATAATTCTATGCATGTATCAAACTTTTTATATCATTAACATTCCAACAGTGTCTAGTTGATCAAATTTAACACAGATTTCTTCCAACGTTTTAAGTAAAATTATGAGAACTAATTTGTTAGTAAATTAATTGCGCTATAGTTCGAACTCGATGAGTATTATTAGTGGTAAAGAGAATACTATTCTACTTAAAAAATTTAGATATGAGTAGTTACATTTGTGGCACGTTTACATTGTCATAGATAAAGAAATTTTTTGAACAAATACTACATTATAATTATAATCATCACAAATTATCAAAAATAGTCTTTAAATTTGTTAAAATTTATAATTGTTCGAAAATTTTAATGATTATTTTTAAAAAAAATTAAAATTTTATTCTGTGTGCACAAATTTTTTTTCGCCGATGATGATCTTAAGTCAGTGAATCGATACAAGTCATGGCAGATCTTCGGTGGTGCACTCACTCAGTGCAGCAATGTCTCCTAGTCCATGGTACAATTATGTACGTCTTTGAGACGCGAAAAAATGAGAGCTAAACTCGAGCTCTCTTGTCTCCGGACGAGACCAAAATGATTTAGAGAAAGAACATGTTCATATGAAGAGAAACATGGCAAATCTCATTCTCGAAAATTTACGAGTTCCTTCTTGAAGATCGGTAAACTATGCTTCATCGGACATAGTTCTTTGAGAGGATCGAGTTCTCCCTCAAGGCAATCCTACAGAACAGATTCAAAGGTGATTGAGAGAACATGCCCTTATTTTCACTCGGGGAAAAATACTGTATAAAATTTACCTGCAGAATTTACTGTATGGAAGAAAACATATTCATTTACTGAACATTCATTTGAACATTGAAGAACCGCATGCATGAATGAATGAACTTTCATTTGAACATTGATCATAGAAAAGGGAGATACTGAATAAACACAAGGAGAAAAGGCAGTTACGAAATTATCACAATCCGGGATGAATCAATCTTCAGATCCATGGAAACAATGTTTGAATAAAAATATCCAACCATTTATCATCCCACAGTACGTAAAAGTTCCAAATAAATTTAAACTAACGTAAATTTTATTGTGAATATCGTTCAAATCCTCTCTCGGGGTCTTGATGCTTAAGATGAAGCCGGTGTTTTGGTATAGAAGCGGACGCCGAAGGCCAATCCCAAGATCAGCAGGGGAACGAGGAATTGGAGAAGCTTTACAACGAATTCCGATGTCTTGTCTTGGTCATAGTGAGGCTGCTTGGGAGGAGTGTACTTTTTCTTGGAGGGGATGGTTGATGTATCGATGTCACCCACGTAAAACTCATCCATCATTGCTCGAGCACTGCTACTATGACCAACATCCTCAAAATCATCAGTTGCATCCTTCCCTGCCAACCATACATCAAACCAAGGTCATCTCCCTTTTTACCGTCGTCTACAATCGTTCCAACATCAGATTATACAAAATAAGTCGAAAAACTGCAGATATCCGTCTTACCTGTGGAAGACAGCAAGACATCATCACCACCAGGATGATCTTCCAAGAATTTGGTCACATTGTATACCTGTTCAAACATAAGATGACGAATTTGAGGAGATCAAAATGCAAATGCAAAGCATTCAATGCATATACAAGATTTTCGCATCATTCTCATCCAAAATACATCTGCCAACAAGTACATACTGCAAGGTGCGAACATCGTTACTCTACAATTCTCGTATTCTCCAACTTAATCATCAATAAAAAGATGTCCACCAACTAAAACACACCATAGCTAATTTTCAACTCCTCAAAGAAACGGAACAAAAAGGCGGATCAACGATGAAAACATTCGTACATGCCCTTGACCAACAAGTACTCTGCAAGGTCCATCATGCAGAATTCATAAATAAAAAATATTGCATTTAAGGGCAAACTAAGTTTAATGGCAGTGAAGCAGCATACTAATGACCGAAACCACCATTCCGGATTAAGCTAATAACTAAACAAACCAATGGGAAACGTTCTTATGCCAAGGACCAACAAGCATACTCCGCAAACTGAGGAGAAATACACAATGGCCAGTCTCTCTTAATGGAATTTGTAAAAAAACAAATAGATTACAATGTACAAAGTCCATCATGCAGAATTCATCAAAAAGAAAATAGTGCATTTAAGGGTGATATTAAATAAAAGATAGTGACAGATCTAAGCAAAAGATTGTTTTTGGTACTGAAGATGATTGTTTTGTATCCGACTAATAATCCACAAATAAGAAGTAGAAAAATTCAGTTTTCATACTGAAGATGGACTCTTTCAAGGGTTATAACTTCCTAGAGATAAGTCAAATATGCAGTGAATATAAGCTGTTAGCCTCTAAAAGAGATTCATCCACTGGGATTCAAAATTTTATTATGATCAGAATCAAATCAAATTTTCAAACAAAAAAAAAACACCTATTAATCAAATAAGGGGGAGGGGGAACACCATGCTAACCCAGATCCAAGAACTCTAAAAATCCAAAGCCTCCAACTTCAGAATCAAATTGAAAGAAAAAAAAAACTTCCTTTTTTTGCAAAAAATGTAATCAACAAAGAAAGATACCATTGTTAAGCAACCCAAAAAACGAATCTAAGACCATGGGTTATCAACGAAATTCTACCGAATAAAAGAAGCTTTTACCTTGCCCTCAATGACAAGCCAACAATCTTTAGCATGGTTGTGCTGAGAAACCTCAGCCAAAGTGTAGACCTTTCCTTCTCCACCCATATTCCTCCCTTCTTTTTTGCTTGTTTGAAGAAGAAACGAGGAAGAAGAAGAAGCAGAAGAGGAAGAGCACAGATTTGGTGATGAAACAAAACCCAAAAGTTATTAGTGTTGTCTTGTGGTTGGCACTAGCCACAAACTGTGTGTGCTGTGAGGTTGACCCAAAAAACCAAACAACTAAATAAAAACAAAGGGAAACAAAAGGGCAGTAGGTTTGGTAATTGGTTGGTTGGTAAGGTCAAATGTGAGCCATCGGTGGAAAGCACACTTTGACGGGGTCTTGTGGGGGTTGGTGAGGACTGACTGACTGAGGGTGAGATAGTAGTGTCAGTCACCAACCACACCTTCCCTATTGTTATAATTTCAATGATTATGATTTTGAATACGTTTACATATATAACATTTTTTCAATTTTATGAATTTATATAAAAATCTATATAAGCAAATAAATGATTATATAATTTTTTGTTTTTTTAACAAAATTTTGAGCAATATACTTATGATTCCGGAAAAAAATTATCAACCTAATATATTTACTCAATGACCTGACATGAACCCATTAAGTCATTTGGGTTATTTGTTATTGAGCTTTGCCAATAACTTTGAGATAGAACCTTTCTAAAATGATGGATGTGAGAGAGGATATAACACTATGCGTCCCAGTCAAATGAGCATTATATAATGGCACAGCTTATATTGTGGCGTCACTAAGCTGAGATTCTTTATTTACAAGATTACTTCTTCGGTGAGGGAATGAACAAACCTCCCTAGATTTTAGGCAATCTACTCTATTTCTTATCGGCTCAATTATACCAAACATTCTTCAGTAAAGCATAACGTTTTGAACTCGTCGAAATAGCAACAATGCTAGCTATCATTTGCTTCTGTTTTTACTATCACTCTTGGGTTCGGTTCTGGACTACAATCAGTATATGTTTCAATAATATCTGGGAATTATATGATTAGAGAGTTTCAAAGCAGAAGTCTTCATCTTCAAAGTTAGAAGTGGAAGTATACTGCCCTGCGTACACAGACAATAGTATGATTTAGGTAGTAACAATCGTGTATACTACACTTCCGCCTCAACTTAAGTAATATAGGTTGGTGTTCTCAGCAGTATGAGATTCAAAAAATGCCAGCTCTAATTTTCCTATAGGAAAAAAACAAATTTGTTAGGCAGGAGCAGGATTAATAGGGTTTGTCCATGTAAAACTTCTCTTTATGAGAATATATATATAGAAGGCCGGGTAAAAAAGAATATTATTTTCTATAAAAAAAAATCAGAATTTGAACTATACAGCTTCTATGCGTATTGTTAATTGACTAAGAAAAAATTCAGAAGATATACTAACTTGTAAATTGTAATCACTCCAACTATTCAATATATATATATATATATATATATATATATATATATATATGGGATTATAGCAGTGGCAACAAGATGCCATTAAATTAGAGCAAGAATTAGCACATAAACTAAGTATATATCAAGATCAAACACTGGCAAAATTGCAAGACAAAAACAGTTTCAAGGCTGGATCATGATCCATGTTAATGCAAATCTTAACAATTGCAGTTCAAAAATTTTGTTAGATCCATCTAAAATTCTATACAAACCCTAACCTGCATAGAACAAGGAATAGAAAATAGTTTTCAACCTTGAAATATTCTCGAGGAACCCAAATCTTCTTCCACCTTCACTCTCTTGTTTAACCCGAAAGTGGCTGATATGACATCCACAATTTTCTTTTGTGAATGCAGTACCATCTCAATCCTTTGGTTCTCCATTTCCATTCTGAATCTCTCTGTTTCAAGTATTATTTCCATATTTTTTCTTTCCATCCTCTCAAACCTCTCTGCAAATCTCTTTATTTCCACTGCTAATCCCACTCTCTTGTCTTCTTCCTCCATTCCCACAACTCCCACGTCACCATCCCCGCCCTCTTCCGGTCTGACCCTTTTCTTCCCACCGCTACACAGCCCCGAGAACCGGTTCACAACACTTGGCCGGCGCAGAATGTAATTGATACTGCGGCTTTTACTGAACCGATAATCTTCTTCATCATCATCATCGTCTTCTTCTTCTTCTTCTTCTTCGTAACAACAGTAGTTATTTCCAGCTTTATGCCCATCGTCGGGATAAAAGTGTTTCTCTCCGGTTGGAACCATGGAAGGCAATGGTTGGGTCGAGAAAGGAAAAGGCCCGTGTTCCAGAGCTTGCATGGCGTCGAAGTAAGGCCAAGGGGAGCCCGAAGCGAGAACCTGGCGTTCGGAGCGGTAGCGGCGGCGGAGTTTCTCCATCTTGTAACGGCACTGGAGGGCGGTCTTGGAAGCGGGGTCGTCGAAGAGGCCGCAACGGGTGGCGACGGTTACGGCTACTTCCTCCCATTGGCCGGCCTTGAGTTGGCCGCGCTGGAGAGAATACCATTTTTCTTGGTAGGCTTGGATTAGGTTGAGGGTTTCTTGGTGAGTCCAAGGAAGGGGTTGGAGTTTTCTAGCGGCGTTCTTGTCGGCCGCTGGCGTTGAATGAGACATTGGTTGGGCGATTGGGATCAAATTTCAGATAAGTGTTTTTGAAAGAGGGATTAGAAGTGTTTTAGTAGGGGTTAATGAGAGCGGCCGTCTCTGACGGTGATGGTGGGCGGGAATGGGTGGGCCTAGTAAGTGTTTTGGTTTCTGTTTTAAAATTTTAATGGACCCGAACCCCAAATTTTGTTCTGGATCTACGACACTTGAAATCAGGCCCAAATATGAACAAAGATTGAGACGCGGCATATACTTTTCAGGGTAAAGTATACAAATGATCATCGACTATGTGGTATTATTTTATTGAATTCATTAATTGTTAAAAAATATAAAATAATCTTTAAATTATAAGGAGTTGTTTTATTGAGTCTCTCAACTATTAAATTAAAAAATAATCACTTGACTATTCATATATTCTAAATTTATCATTTTCTATTAAAAAATTGACAGACGTTTGAACTTATATGTTAACTTGTCCATTGAGATATGATAAAATTATATTTTTAATGATGTCTAATGACACTTTCATTGCTTTTAAGCACTGGCTCGCCAGCATCATTTTTATCATACAAAATATACCTGAAATAGTTCTGAGATCATATTATATCATACCCTAGTTAGCAGGTTAACGTCTAGCTTAGAAGAACGTCATATTTTTAATGAACACGAACGAGTTTGAAACACATGAATACTTGGGTGACCAATTTATAACTTTAATTAGCTAGAGGACTCAACAAAGTAGAATCATATAGTTAAAAAACATTTTGGAACTTTTAATAGTCGAGTGACTCAACAAAATAACACCTTATAGTCGGGGATCATTTGTATACTTTACCTTATTTTCTATAAGTTTTAATTTTTTTATAAAATATAGGGTACACAAAGTATTTAGTCATCCAACTATCACTTTGGTTTCATTTTGATCACTGAACCTATTTTGTTTTTCAAAATCATCACCAATGTTACGTTTTGATTTTATTTTAATCAACAGCCGACAAAAAATTAATGATGATATTGATGGTATCATTATAAGATAATGTCTTGTTATAATAGAAAAAAATACCACATGAACGGTTTTATTATTCTTTTAACGGTAAATGATCAAAATAAAACTAAAATATAACGTTATTAATGATTTTAAAAAGAAAATAATTTGATGATCCTAACGAAAACAAAATGATAATTGGATGAATATGTAGTTTACATTAAAATAAATTACATATATATGTAAAATTGTCCCAATTAAAGGGTAAAATTAATTAAAAATAGAGCGAGAAAAAATTGTCTATGTAAAATGTGGTAGAAATTGTCTGAAAAAGAGATTTACACAAACCTAAAGCGAGCAAGAAGGACCGATTTTCTTCACTTGACATGCTACTGTACATGACGTGGCTTTAGGCACTATCTTCAATTTCATCTGATACGCTCCGGCAGCGTCTCCTCTTGGAGCCGACCTGAAGGGAACATTAATGAAAGATGCATGTGATTATATGGTTAAAGATGTTATAGTGCTACTTTCAGCTGGGTTAATTTGAGAGGGTGATTATATGGTCCCCTTATATTCAACATTCCAACTGCTTTGATACCGACCCTTTTGAATGGAAAAATAGCACTAACATTATCCTAATGAGGTGTGATTTAGTCCATTTTCAAGTCATTTTGCGCATAGATTGTTAAATTACTTGTAAAAGAAGTTTTCTATGGTATGGAGAAGGACCCTGCAATTAATGATATTAACAACAAGCCTCAAATGACACATCCATACTACCAAAAAGGCACCTTAACCAGAAGCCATCATTTGTTACTATCTGAAAATCATGATCAGTTTTGCTTGCTTTACACGTTAAGTGAACACAGTTGACATTCACTAGGATTGTCTATTTTTCATGCATACATGGCATTCTGCAGTTATAAAGATGTTGAAGTAATACAAATAATCCTTTTAAGTAACCGAAATAACAGCATGACACAAGCATAAGATAGCTAACAAGCATGTAAAAGATAGTCCCAGATTTATATAATTAAAGACAGTCAAGTTGAGAAGTGGCATGCCTTGGAAGATGAAGGCAAAGGAGGCAAAGAAGCCTGTTTGACAGGCTTCTTTAGCTGCTGAAATTCCCGAAGCTGGTTCACCAGCTCCTTGATGAGTTTCAAATGGGTATCCACCATTTTACTCTGATCCGATGAGAAAGTAAGCTTCACTTTTTCTCCTCGCACAATCTGTAGCCTCTCTCTAAGGCCTTTGATTGCAGCACCAATGGCCAACATTTCATTACTGACCCCAGAAAAAGTCCTGCGCAATTCATATCGCGAGGTTTTGTGATCTAAAGCAGAATCGGGTGGCTTTTTACTTTCTTTTGAGTTCTCCTCCGGAATGTCTACTTTATCATCGACAACATGGACATCATAGATAGCCGGTTCCAAATCAGACGTGGGATGTTGTAGATTACAGTCTAGTGGTTGCCAAAATCCGCATTCTTCTTGAGCTCCTATTCTGCAGTTAAAGAAGTTTTCTCAATGCCTTGGACTGTTTTGGTTGCAATTTCTTGGAAGGCTATATCATCATGATCCACTGTTCCCACTTCCTTATTTGCACTCGATCCACTATTCCCCGCCTGTTTCACCACCACCAGTTGATCTTCACCTATACCAAGTTGAATCGAAGGCTGTTGTCCCTCTTTACTCAATGTATAATTAAATTCACATTCCTCCGGCTTATCTCCCAGCCTGTAAGCTTCTAGTTCTCTCTCCAATAGGTGATACTCCTCCCACCAAACAAGTATCTCTTGCAGAATCTTGATCTCTTAATCATCATAAGCAATTTTTTCTTCCACCATCCTTTTATATTGCCTTGCTTCCATTTGTATAGAAGCTTTATCCTTTTGTAGCCGCAAAATCATTGCCGTGGTTTCATCGGAAGCCAATTCGGCGGCAGCCCTTTCTTTCTCCAACTCCAGGTACATAGCAGCAAGCTTAGCTTTCTCTTCTTGAAGAGCTTGTTCCAACATTCTGATCCGATCAGCTTCACCTCCGATAAACCCTGATTTCTCATTAGTGTCGATAAAAGTTGATTTTTCCGTAAAATTTGATCCTTTTTCCCTCTCCACTGCTCAATCCAAAACCATGCCAGGTTGTCTCACCTATATCTGTGCCAGTTTGAGTGTTATTATCATCTGAAAGAGCATTTCTCATAGGTCAACACACATGTAATGATAATAAAATATATCAGATCTAGAAAAGGCAATGAAAAGTCCATCTAGTTCAATGATTCCCTTACGAAAAATGCACGCGAAAAGTTGCCACTTGAAGCTAGAAGTACCAATATGGAATATATATATATATATATATATATATATATATATATATATATATATATATATATATTACAATATAATGATTTTACAGGAGATGTATTTAACTTACCAGGTAAACTATCTACAATTTCAGCAACTGGACCGAACTTATCCTTAATTTCACTTCTTGTTTCACCGCCACTAATATACGAAGAAGATGAAACACCTGCAAGAGATGATGGGAAATTATCGGACAATAATACCGGATATTGGAATACTACACAAGATTGTAAACTGCCAGTGATATTATTGATTGATATTGTATGTATATTTTTACAAAGAGCACTTCTTGCTTTATATACATCACGCTCAGCCTGCAACCAATTAACTATCTAACGTCTTAACCGTTGTTACAAACAAACTGCAACAACTTACTAACCAACCTGAATGCTAACTATCCTCTGCTGCAATCTTCTTGGCATACACATCACTCCTAACATCTCCTATGTTCAATATTCCCCCTAATTTTTCCCTTGTTTTTTTGCTAAACACACCTTAATTTGATCGCGAAAGCATTCAAAGGCACCTTTAGCTAATGGTTTGGTAAACCCATCAGCAATCTGATGTGAGGCTGGGACATATTGAACTTGTAGATGTTTAGCTGCCACCTTTTCCCTCACAAAATGAACATCGAGATCAACATGCTTGGATTGTGCATGGTAAACCGAGTTAGCACTCATTGCAACAACTCCTGAGTTATCACACCAGATTGTTGGTGTTGAATTCGAATCTTCACCTAAGTCAGCAAGAACATCATTAACCCAAGTGACTTCTGCAGCAGCAGCAGCATCAACAAGACTCTTATACTCGGCTTCCATGGTTGACCGAGAGACTGTCTTTTGTTTCCTTAATAGCCAAGACACCAAACATTTGCCAAGGAAGACACAATGACCAGACATCGACCGTCTGTCATCAACATCACCTCCCCAGTCTGCATCCGCAAACGCAGTGATAAACAGATTAGAGCCAGCTGTTGAGAACAGCAGTCCATAATCCACTGTTCCTGCCAAGTATCGAATGATCCTTTTAACTGCCATAAAATGATATTCGCGAGGGGCTTGCATGTACTGAGCAACCTTGCTCACACTGAGAGCCACATCAGGTCGAGTATGACATATATATAGCAAAGATCCAACAATGCTGCGAAACTCATAGGCATCAATTAACGGATGATCTTCATCATTAGAGAGTTTATTAGCTACAAACATAGGCGAGGCAGTCGGATTAGCACGTGTCATCTTCTCTTTTGCCAACAGATCGAGCAGAAACTTTTTTTGACTTAAAATAATGGAATTAGCATTGCGCTTGACCTCAATACCCAGAAAATAGGACATGTCACCAAGGTCCTTGAGTGAAAATTGTTTATTGAGCTCACGAATCACATACTTAATATGGTTGAGTGATTCTCCTGTCAGTATGATATCATCTACATATACAAGGATAAACGTGCGAGTGCCAGCCTGGTTGGTAACAAACAAGGATCTGTCAGCTTTGGACCCTCGAAATCCCAGAGCAAGCAGGCTATCTCGAAGCTTGTTGTGCCAGTTACGTGGTGCTTGTCGTAAGCCATAGAGCGCCTCCTGTAGCTTACAGACAAGAGGGGTGCCATTAGGATTGTACACCTAAAATCCAGGTGGATGCTTCATAAACACATCTTCAGTCAATCCACCATTGAGAAACTCGATGTTAACATCGATTTGTCGAA